GAGATACTTTGATTTTGTAAGATTTTTGGAATGACTTATAATTTGGAATGGATATAGTACATAATTTTAAGGAAATGTAGTTATCATGCACTGATATATTCAGCTCCCTATTTCTGTTGAAATTGACACTATTATTCGGTCAGGAATGCATGGCTCTAAACATCCATTAATAATTCCACCATACGTTGACCAGTGCGTATACAGTATACAGACACGTAAGCATACCTACGATCAAGTTCTATGACCAGTAGACCTGATAAAACGCTGGGCCATCTCGAGTTCGGATCGGGCCGGAAAAAGTGTAGGGTCAAAATCTTCGGTTTGAGCCCGAGCCGACACAGGTCTGACTATTTCTTGAACTTTTGTACTTTGGATCGGGTTTTTTGGGTTGATCAGATCAGTGACCGATCAATGAGTGATTGTGGTGAAGTTAACAAATGATGTTTTAGTTTTGTTTTATCCGTGGCAAAACGAAAGAATGTTAGAAAATTAACAGAGTCTAAAATATCTCAAAACTTGTAAAAAGAAAAATAGACAAATGGAATCATGGAAGTGACGAAAAACTTAGCTGTGTAATATTGATGACATTAACACTTTGTTATATAGAGTCTAGATGACTCGATCTGAACATGATTAGTGAACCTAAATGAGGGTAGTAGTAACTAAGTTAATCAGATGATGATGGCTTTCGCGTGTTTAAATGTTTTATTGATCCGCTTCTCTTTTGGCAAAAAAGATTCCTCCAAGAATTGTTAGAAAATTGAACACAGCCCTAGTCTGAGCATGAACCTAATCAAGTAAAACTTGTGTAGGAAGAACGGCTTGTCGATAGACAAATGGAATCATGGAAGTGACGAAAAAGAACCGAATAGTGGTAGTTCTGTTTTAATATTGATGACATTAGTTCGGTGTTTTGTTTTTTTATACCGAAGCGAAAACCAAAACCGAATAAAAGTGTCAACTTTTTTTCTCAACTGAACATGAACTAAACATGAAAAACCAAACTTAAATGTGTTGTAACCTGTTTTTTTTTAGCTGTTGTAACGAACTAAAACCGAAGATACAATTGTAAATCTTTGAGTTTTTTTCAACTGAGCATGAAAAACCTAACTAAAAAACAAGTAACTATTGAAATTTAGCAAACCGGAGGAGGAGACAATTTTGAAAACTGGCGGCGTTTCTGGCTTGTCGATAGTGCTGATGGGAGGCACGGGTCCAACTGAAAAAAATAGTATTAAATATTAAAAACCATGGCTTGACACTTGAAGCAATGAAAAACTAAAAAGACTACCAGCAATGAGAAATTGGGGAAAAATTACCCAAAAACACATCACCGGCAGCTGAGGTGGCAGGCACGATTGCGAAGAAAACGACCGTGAGTAAAGCCAGCCGGTGCGAACGCATTGAGGTCTCTGCCGATGGCGTGGCAGAGGCATATCGCGGCCGGAGAGCTGCTGCCATCGCCACCACGGCCACAGCAGCTCGCCGGAGGCCATACTCGCGCCGATTGTGAGGAACGGAATGCAGTCGAGAAGACTAGACAAGGTCGGCGGCGCAAAGACTCCGGCTGCCTGTTCGTCGTCGGCGCCGGTGGACGGACGCAGCTTGGAACACTGCCATTCGCGACCATGGCTGAACTCTGACGGTGAACTCTGAGCTTGTTTATATAGTTCTATTCAGAGTTGGCGTTGTTTTCGTGCACAAGATTTCAGAACCAATATTCACTGGCGCCCAGACTGAATCGCTCGATGCAATGCAAAACAGCCAACGCGAGGGTTGGCGCACCGCGCACCCAATTCCAACCAAACAGAGAGGGGATCTTTTATTGATTATTAATGTTCACTGTGAGGGGATATTTTGTTAATTATTAATGTTCGTTTCCTGTGCCAAGCGTTTCCGTGGTTCATCAAGAATTGGATGAAATGTCGCGACTTCCTCCTACAACTAAAAAGAATAAAGTGTGGATATTTTTTTGTGCGACATTTGTTTTGGTTCGTCCGTCTCCCACGTCTGCGATCCCACGACATCTCCCGCATGTTGTTTGATTGAATATTGTATGCCATGTGATAGATGAATCACGGCAAAATAAGAAGTAGAAAATTATTGTGCTATCTATATACACATTGCATGTTTGCATGCACCAGCATACATGGCAACGAGCAAAAGGAGAGAGAATTAACACAGAAGGAAAGAGATTTAAGACAAAAAGAACTTTTTTGCATTTCTGAGAACCTTGTCAAATCTGCCTACATTTAATTACTTCCCCTCTTTGCATTTGCAAAAGGGACAATTTTTTTCTTCTTTCATTTGGTTTCACGCTCACATGTTCCATCGTCCTCGCTTGTTGTTTCTTGCTGAAATTGCCCTTAGGTTTGTTCATTTTGAATCATTTTCTCATATCCTCGTTCCCCAATCCATGGTCCATCGCAACAGTAGACACCAGACACCATTTCTTGCGTGAGCCATAGTTGATGTCATCTGTCTTCATGGCTCAACCTCCCAATCCCAAGAGAAGGTCCATACCTCTCTCTGACTGGAGATCCGGCTTGCTAGAGGATCTCCTCGAGTCCATCGGGCAGCGTCTCGCGTCAGGCCACGACGTGGCGTCCTTCCGATCCGCTAGCTCCCCATGGCGCGCCGCCGTCCCGTTCGCGACCTTCGGGCCGCTCCTGCTGCTCCGTTCGACCCCGACTTGAACCGCGTCGGCTTCTACTGCGTCCCGGAGAAGGTCTTGTCCAAGATGCTGCCCGACGTGCGCGGCAAGGTGGCGTGCGACTCCTCGTGTGGGTGGCAGGCGCTCATGGACGAGGCGGCGTCCGTGACACTGCTGAACCTATTCGCCGGTGCCCGTGCCCTCCGCGTTGAGCTCCCGCCAGCAGGCGAACACGTCGTGGCGGCGTCCTCATCGGAACGCGTGTCTAGGGTCCACGGCCAGTGGGTCCTCCATCCCACCAATGGCTACGGGGCGTGAATGCCGCAGAGTAGAGCCATCAAGCTAGAAGACATGAGGGACGTGTTCTTCCGTGAGATCGTGCTCTCGGCGCCGCCGACGCCGCCGACCGCGAGTGTGTGGCCATGGCCATGTTTGGGTGCTCCACGGAGGTCGCGTTCTACCGGGTTGGAGTCGACAGCGCATGGACGCTGCTCGACAACAAACTAGAGTTCTCCGTGGGGTCCATCATCCACTGCCAAGACAAGTTTTTGGTGATCGATCGCCTTTGGAGAAATCTCCGTCTGCGCAGCAACAACGCCGCCGGTGCTACTCCAACCATGACGCCGCCGCCATCATTGCCGCCACACACTGGGGCTCGCCACCGTAGCTATCTAGAATCAAGCGGTGAGTTGCACATTGTGGGTGCCATGGTGAGCACGTTCCACGAGAGATGAGCTTCACCTACTGCAGCAGCTGATCTACAAGTGCAATATCCACCATCATGACGTCGGAGTGGTCCAGGTGAGAGACATCGATGATCGATTAATCATTCGTGTCTAAACATTTCAATGAAAGGTTCAGTGGAACAAGTGTATCAAAGTACAAGGAAAACAAAATCTACATGTCTGAGCCATTGTATGGGGATCCATACGACTTGGTTCATTGATTGGAGATCGTTGATATTGCTACCGACGACATCCGAAGTGAAGCCCATCCAGGAAAAGATGCAGGGTTCCGAGCCTCTAGGTTGGATTCGACCCAATCTCTGGAAGGATCATTGCAAGACATCAATCATCTCATAGCTTCGGACAATGGCCCCGTTCGCGTGCCCTTAAACCCGGCTTGATCCGCTTCTTTTTTCATTCGGAACAGTGTTTTTCTCTCACAAATTCCTCCAGCATTCCTCCAAACCATCTAAATTCCTCCAGAATTCCTTCAAGCGAACAGGCCCAATATCGCAAAGCTACTAAAAACTATAACCATACCCTCACCTCAAACATTGTCCAGATAAATGAATTACAACGAAAGAAATGGATATCGAAGATTTCTTTCTGCTAATATAAAACATTATCTTAGCCGCATCACGAAAAGATCTATAAAGTAGAGTTTATGAGCCTGCGACGCCGCGCACTCCGTGACTGTGTTAAATTTATAAACTTTATTTTTTAAATTAAATATCACTTTAACATTGGTATTTAATTTTTACAGTATTATTATCTTATCGTGCAATTAGTATGTTTTTAATATAAATTATTAGTTATCACGTGGCAACGCGGACAGGCTACGTGGTAGTAAACCTAAAGTCCACGGTCAACGGCTGTAACTCCGGATCACAACGGCTTCTATCTATTTCTAAGGCATCTCTCTGATGTAGTCATGGTAACATGGCATTCACCGATCCTGATGTCAAACAGGTGACACGGCGGAAAAATAAAAAGGTGACACGGCAATTCAGCTATGCCAAAGAATGGGATTTTGCCTGGTTCTATTAGTTCAGACACATGTCGAACCCTTATCATTCCTTTACCATAGTCAAATGTAACCTGCAGCTCGGAATGCAAGGGCATACACGGAGAGGAATAAAAAATGAAGCAAATTATCATAATGATCAATGATCAGTTGACATCGTTTCCCACCCATTAAATCCTAAGGGACGAGAAGGTTTTTTCCTTCTGAGCTGAACATTTAGTCTCATTGGCACAGCCTGTTTTATTGGCAGCTCATTGCAAAGCAACTTCTCGATCTTGATTTGGTCAACGATATTTTCTAGATCGATTTGCTGTTTCATCGTTTCAGAAACAGAATCCAAGGTGTAGCATGGTCCTCGAATCGATACAAGCTGGAGTATTTCAGAATCAAGCTGAAAAGGACCTTCCAGAAAATAACAGCAGATCAAGTGATCCGTGTTGACTAGAAAACCCACAACAAAGGGCAGAGACCTGCCACAACAAAATATGCAGCCCTGCAGATGGCTCTGAGACATTAAAGAAAGTCAACATCAGAATTCCCCTAAAAATATCAAAACCAAATTCCCTTGACGATTTGGCAAACAGAGCAAATTTACCTGTTACCGCTTGACCCACTGGAAGCTCTTTCTTGCTTTCGCCTTTCCAGGCTTTTTCCTTTCAACCACGCGTGAATCTCTCGTCAAATATCCAGCTGTTTCGGTGCATACACATAGATGTAAGCAACTTTTGGAAGGCCCATATTGAAATGTAAAATGATAACAGCACTAAATATTCGCTTAAATGTTCTTCTGATGTGAATGGTTGCCAGAAAACAGGAGTTCATAGTGCCACCAATCATCTAGAAGGTCATTGCGAGGGGAGCATAATGTGGCAATAAACATGGGTTGTGGTGAAAGCCATCTGATTTTACCTGCTTTGAGATATGGACGCAGTCCTGGTTCCGAATTCTGCAAGGCCCTGCTGATCCCTAAGCGGATAGCTCCAACTTGTCCTGCGTTTGAGAGCATATGTTTAGTTAGGGAGAGTTTTGGTACAATCTATGGTCAGTTAAGCACATAGGAAAAGAATAAATTCATGAAACCCAACAGTTGAAGGGCAGTATTCGATAAAATACAATATGTGCAAGAACCTCACAAATATAATAATAGATGAAACATGTGAAAACAGTAGATTTGCAGTCAATAGGAAAAAAAACATGGAATATAATAGAATAACTAGAATTGCAATAATATTCTGTCTAATAATCATAAACAGACATACACATATTTGTTCAATAATTTACTGACACCCATGCCATGGCATGTAATGGTGTTGTATGAACATACAAGATTAAACGTCCATGAAAAATTTACAATTTATAGTAGTACAGAACTACTGACCTTATTCTAGTATACAAAACTCAAGAATTCATTTATGCACAAGTTAAACACTGACAAATGCATAAATTCAGCACACCCATCTCTGAACAATTGTAAATTTTTAATACACCACTCTCAAATTATCATGACAAGTCAAGACGCCTAGCCCATTGCAGAAATGTATTGAAGTATAGCTGTACAAACTATGAACACTAACCTGATACACCACCACCTTTAACGGTACAGGTCACATCCCAACGCCCCAAAGAGTTGGTCACAGTAAATGGACGTAGAAGTTCAGCTCTATGGTCCAGGATTGGGAAGTAAGCATCAAACTCCTTTTCGTTAACAATGAATTTACCATCACCAGGCTTAATCCAAACACGAGCAATGCTGCATTTCCTTTTCCCTGTTCCATAAGCCCTTCCTTTCTCATCAACCTGTCTTACTCGTGCCTTAGCAATGTCCTCTTGCTTTTGGCGCTCAACTTCAGCTCTGCTTGATGTTGCATTCAATTTCTTGATAGCTTCATCTTCTATTTCAGTTAGGGGAGGCAATCCAGGAATGTCTCTAACATCCTTCAAGAGGATCAAACTATCAATCATTTCCTCTGTGATCCCAGAGGCCGCAATGAGATCACCAAAAGCACGATTTGGACCTGCAATCATAAAATGTTGGTTTTACTAACACTGACACCTGCACATAGTATTGATATAGAAATGTCCATTCCTAGCCAAATCCACAAGAAAAACTAAACCAAAAAAATGCAAGGCAACGAACTGTCAACAAATGCACGATCAGGACCTGCAATAATAAAATGTTGATTTCACCCACACTGAAATCTACATGTAGTGCTGATTTAGAAGTAACCATTCCCAACCAAATACATAAGAAAAACTAAACCAAAAATGGAAGGCAACTACCGTGGTCATGGTAGAGCTGTGATAGCCGATAAGTCAAGTCTAACAGCACAGGCATCATGAGCACTGTAGTATTAAATAACCTATCTGACCATTTTGATGCTACCTTATTATATTGGGCAGTTTACAAGATGGACGCTACACCTGAAGTGAAAATTCTACTGGTGAAGCTTAAGCTACATTGAAATGGATGGCATCAAAAGTAGATGACTAAGGAAATGTATCGTAGCTCACAAGCACTCAAGCAGCTGTGCGTTTCCAACCAGGTCACTCTTACACAATATCTAACAAACATTTGCAGTTCTCGTTCCAAATGCAGGAAACTATTACGTTTCAGAATACGATTCTGTAACTTCAAAGTGTAGCATAGCACTTGATCAGTTATCCAACTAATCCAAAACATCACACATGAACACAACCAGATCATGCTCCCACTTTTGATCGTCGCACCACAAAGAAATCAAAACACAGTTTACACAAAATCAGTTGTAGATTATCACCTTTGAGTATCTCCATCAGCTCATTCTCCCTCGCCTTGTTCTGCTGCCGCTTCAGCTCATCCTCAGGGTCCTCCCCAGCATCGAGGTCATCGAGCCCAGCACCCTCACTTTGGATCCCCTCCCCAAGCACGGCCGCGGCAAAAGGATCCTTCTCCTCGTCGTCCCCACTCAGCGTCCACTGCTCGTCATTGCCGGCCGGAGCCGCCTCTCCGCGTGCGGGGGCCGCCGAAGCAACCTCCTTGTAGATCCCCTCGAACACGTCGCCATTCTCACCGTCCTCCCCGCCTAACCCCGTCGCCCAGGGCTCGTCGGCGGCGCGCGTCGATCTTACCGTCGCCCCCTCGCCAGCGCCAGCGGCGTCGGCGTCTTCATTGGCGAAGGGGTCCGGATCTCCCGAGTCCGCCGCGAAGTTCCACGGCTTGTTGCGGTCGTCGTCGCGGCCGGAGGTGGAGAGGAGCCGCGGGGAGAGGACGCGCGAGGGGAGGAGGTCCGGGAGGCGGCGAAATGGAAGGGGGCAGGAGGAGGATGAAGAGGCGGCGGAGGTGGCCGGAGTTACGGTCCGGAGGCCGTGCCAGATGTGGCGGGAGGAGTGGAGGAGGCGGCGGAGCAGCATGCCGGCGCGCGGAGGAGGGCGGCGACCATTCGGCAGGGGAGCTAGGGTTTTAGCGGCTTGATTCGTTTTGTTTAGGTTTTTCGCTTTTCCGCATAGAATGCTGCTCAGCCTCTTCTACGCGTTGCGACAGGAAAGGCGTATTCTCTGCTTCCTAGTTGAATTACCCTTGGAAGGTGCTGCTGCGAGAAGCGGCCTATGCAAGTGTATAGGACTTTGACCGCTACACTAACTTACCAGCAACTTATAAGCTTCTCAAATAAGTTTAACAGCCCGGGAAGTCAGTGTATTTACGGTCCAAACAATTTTAGTGTGGCAAAATAAGTTCGCACTGGCTAGGCTAGGCGTTAGGATCCCATCAAACCTAAAACAATGTTGGATTGGTAGCAGGTTACATAGAATGATCACCTTTGCATTACAAAATTTCAATCTCCTGTTTCGGACAAAAAGACTTTCAATCTTTTCAGTTGGCTTACTAAACATAATAGACTAATAATATTCACACGATATGTCATGGCCATAATCCTAACAATAGTTTAATGGTATTGCTCCCGAATCGGAGAATAAACTCGTGATCATCCTTTCTTGAAACTTAAACTTGGTGCAATTGTATCAAATGCCAAGAACAGAGTTGTTACGACAAAAATGAAAGAACACCATGGCTTGATGACTTCACTGCTACAAGTTCACGAACTAATATTAGCAGGGGCGGATCTAAGGGGGCTTGGGGGGGGGGCTCTAGCCCCCCTGGTGCATCAATAAAAATATGGGAAGGGTGAGGAAGAAGACGATGAGGAGAAAAGAAGAAAAATGGAGAGAGAGATTAAGAAGAAGAGACCAACCCCCTTTAATTTTGTTCTGCATCCGCCACTGAATATTAGTGCACCGTATTTATGTTGTAAACCAACGATCATCCTTGTATAAAAAAACATTGGCATGATTAGAGCAGAGGATTAAGGCCTTGTTTAGATGCCATCTAAATTCCAATTTTTTTCACTCTCTCTCCATTACATCAATTTTTAGCCGCTTGCATGGAGTATTAAATGTAGGTAAAAAAAATAACTAATTACACAGTTTAGTTGGAAATCACGAGATGAATCTTTTGAGCCTAGTTGGTCCACGATTGAATAATATTTGTCAAATAAGACGAAAGTAATACTATTCATCAGGTTGAAAATTTTTGCAAAGAGAACAAGGCGTAAATTCAAAACACAATAGACGCGAACTATATTCAGGAGCAGCAGCATCGGGTTCTCAATGATGAGGATCCATCCCTAGTAGCTCAAGTGATCGTAAAGCAACTGATTCGTGACGTTTTATCTCGTAGTTGCAAAAACCATGTTAAACTACTTCCCACCAACATCAAGTGCATAGCACGCGCCATAGACCCACCATTAACCTTAGTGTCTAACGGGTGAGCATATGTTTTGCCACACTTTGGCATATCTTTTTTGTTGTTGTTTTAGTTTGAACAGTTTAAAAGTTATTGGACTAATATTTACAGTGGTGGATGTAATTTATTCAAAAGAAACGGAAAAATAAACAACTGAGTTGGTTATCAATCACATTATCACAGTATAGAAGAATTCATGATTTAGAAGACTCCAGTGAAGGGGAAAACAATTGTTTTTTAGCGAGCATAAAGCTTCAGCACAGACTGTGAAAGAAAGCCCCCGTTCCCTTCTAGATATAGCACAAGAAAAACATACGGAGTATGAATTTAAGGAGAGATAGAGATAAAAGAAAGTTTTTTAAGAGGTTAGAACTCATGTCCATTTTCTCGAAAATTCCTATATATATGAGACGGTAATACTTCCTACATAGCCTCCTTCCGTGACTTGCGTCCGGACACGGCTCCCTAGGAGCGGCCCCCAAACAAAAAACAAATCTCCATTTCTTCATGCTTATCCACCCAAACCCATCCACTCCAAAGCCCACCCCCACTACTTCGTGCTTATCCGCCTGACCCCAAAGAGCGTGGCTGCTCATCCGTCCGCCCTCTTCTCCAGTGCGCGCTCGTCGGGCTGCCGCGTCGTTTCCTTTCCCCTCGCTCCTTGTGTCGCTCACGTACGTGGCAGTCACATGTGTCGCTCGCTCCCTCGTCGTTCGTCCATTGCCCATCGCCATTGGGCGCGCCGCTGACCCCACCATGGCCACTGGGCACACGTGTCGTGGCGCCTCAGGTCTTCCCCTGCCGAGCCAAGGGCACCCACGAGCAAGGTTTAAAATTTCGGTGAAATTTCGACCGAATTTCGCGAAATTCAGTAATTTCGGTAGTGGTTGAAAGAAAAATCCGAATTTTTGTAATACACTAATACATGTGTTATATAACTTGAGACTAATTTTTTTTATTGTTTATATTGCATATTCTTGTATTCAATAGATGTGTAGTCATAAATCGTATTAATATTTGTTTAGATTTAAATGTTCTTTAGGAAAAGCATACTTCATGTGCTAGTCTCTAAAGAAATCTCGCCAAAATTTTGGCCGAATTTTACGAAATTCAGTAATTTCGGTGGTGGCCAAAATTTTTGGAATACCAAAATTGTAAACCCTGCCCACGAGCATGGGCGGTGCTGGTGGTGCTCGCGCACCGCGGCTCACCGCCGTCTCCCACCCCGACGGCCGGAATCGACTGGCCCAGCCTTCTCTCCCCTATGTTGCATATGTATGTTTCAAGTGTTTCACACGTTTCAGATGTATGTTGCAATTATTTCATCTTGCAAGTGTTTCAGAGGCATGTTGCAAGCGTTTTTCAAAATGTTTATATGGTTTCAGACGTATGTTGCAATCTTTTTTTATCTGGATGTTGCATATGTTTCACACATATGTTGCAACAGTATGTTCTAAATGTTTCAGTTGTTTCAGTCTTATGTAGCAGCAAGTGGTTTCATGTTGCAAGTTGCAAATCTGTATGTTTCGTGCGTTTCACATATATGTTGCAAGCACATGTTTCAAATGTTTCATCTACTTTGAGACGTATGTTGCATTCAAATATTTTTCATACTGCAAGTGTTTTATGTTGTACGGCCAGGGGCAAGTGGACTGGGCACGCGACGCGCCAGGGGGGCGGCGGACGGTGGTGCCGGAGCGCGCTGGGGGCGTGCTCGTCGTCAGCTGCTCATCCCGGCTCCTGAGTGCTTCCCGCACGGCCAGATAGAGGAGGGGGTCAGGGGTGACCGGCGGGCGCAGAGACAGGGAGAAGTGCGCGCATGGGGCGGGACAAAGCGAACGGGTCAAGACGAAGGCGGGCTGCGCGGGCGTCCGGACGTCGAGCGCTAGCCACGCCCTATATGAAAATAAATCTCTTCTTAAAACGGTTTATATTCATGTATAGGAATCTGTCAAACAATTCTTTGCTCCAAAGTAGAGCTTGATACTAGAGAATTAAAGCCGAGTTATCAAGGGCCGTACATAAGGCAGGTAAATCCAGGTTGCATGCTGCCTGGCTTATTTCCTTACACGATTAAAGTGGATTGAAGCCGCATTCACTGTTTCCCCGTCACTAAATCTGTCAGCCGTACTAATTGAAGTACACAAATCTGAGATCGAAAGTGCATCAGTGGCGACGTAGCGTTAGAGAAAAGGGAACCGTGTGCAGTGCACGAAACTTAAAGAGGTCGTGTGGGGTCAACAAAACCTGACAGATGTGTTTCTGGCAGCTGCCACTAGTCCTGAATTTTCCACAAACGAACTGCCCTGAGTTTGTTAGCATTATTCGAGCCTTTTATGCTGATCTACTGATTTATCGACGACAAGCTGTGCAAAAGCATACACCTCACCTTATAAATTTAGTCAAAGTCAAACAATCATAAGTTTAGTCAAATTTATATTACAAGGAGAAAATGTATGGATGGTACCAATTTAGGACCATTCCCTTACCATTATGTTATACGGAATATAATATATTTTTTTTGTAGTATACCTATTTGGTGTTATAAATATGAATATTTTTCTCTATATAAACTTAGTCAAACTAATGGTGGTTTATGTTATGTAGACATATAATGTCTTTATTTTTCAAAGAGAGGCTACTCCTACGTACGAACCAGGACAGCACTACAGAAGCAGTAGAATTGTAGAAACGAGGCTGCGTGCATGTGAAAGTAAGTAACTGTAAAAGATGTTGGAATTTTCACCTCAAAGCAAACGAAGGAATAACCGGCAAAGACGTACGGATATGCACACGTTCTTTGGATGAACGCTTGTGAGCTTTTTGTCTCGATAGATATAGATTTCTTTGCATAGGTTCATGCGGCTGCTTCCTACTAGTAGTAGTCCAAAATGACAAGATTGGACGCACACGCATGTGAATGTGATTGTACTGCCTGGTGCCTGCAAGCATCTTGTCGGTAAAAAGGCTAGAGGCAGGCTACGGCAAAGCTGAGATCGCGCGTTCAGAGAACAATCTTTTTTACAGCAAGTACACGGGCAGTTGTTTTCCCAGTCCGTGTCTGTGGCCGAGGATTTTGATTTGATGGTGCGATCTGAGGAGTAGAATACTGAACCAGGATTTTTTTTTTTACAGTAGTAGTCTGCAATACGATGATGTGGAGAATGATTACGCGACGTGCTTGGACATGTTTGGCCATGATACGACACTCATCCGCAATCATGATTTTGCAGCCTCTCAAAGTAAACGAGCTAATAGCTTAGTACATTCGTTCATGCATCATGTACTGATGACTAGTTATAACACTAGTTTATGTCCAACTTCGCCAAAGCATGCTTTACAGACCAGCAATAATAATCCGTTTCTGTCATGCACCTGATCTGAAAGCTCCTCTGGATTTATCACGGAGCCAGCCTCCTCACTGTCACGTTCACGTCTTCGATGCTCAGGGCGAAACGAACGGTTTTTGAATGGTGAAAAGGGAAACATGTGGAGGACCAAAAGGACACATCCCCTGCAGGCTGCAGATCCTCAACAACCATCCAGGCACAAGCTCCCAACGCGAATTACTCCACGCAAAGGCGCTGCTGTGGCACCAGCCGATCTCGCG